TGGTGAACTCGAGGAGCTGGGTATAGTCTTCCCCGAACAGGCCCCTGCAGCAGCTCTTCTTGTTGGCCTCACCACAGCCTACGAAATCACAAGGAAGATGCTCCTCACGCTGACTGCGGAAGACCTCACTTTTGCCAAGGTCTCCACCGCTCTCCTCTCTGCCGAGAAAGACTCCACGGCTCAAGCCAAGGCCCATGCCATCCGTGCTCTCATGCCTCAAGCAAGTGTCGCAGCGGCCCTTGCCTCGGCGCCCCTCCAGCGCAACCGCTTCCCACCATGCACCTACGTCGTCAAGTATGGCAACCGCAAGGGACAAGTGTGTGGTGGCACTAACCACCCCCTTGCTACGTGCTTCAAGAAGAAGGACGACGAATGGTACGCCGTCCACGGCATAGACAAGAGGCCACCGAACTGGATGCGTGCGCGTAAGGCCAACCTGGTTGAGGTCCAGGACCCCGCTTCGGCTAGTGCCAGTGATATTGCTTCTGCTGATGTGCGTATCAACCTGTTGTTCCCTGGCACTGCCATGATTAATGAAGCTTCCTCCCAGTACCTCGGCTCATCACAAGCACCACAATACATAGAGTTCACACTCGACAGCGGCGCCACTCACACTGTGCTCAAGGAGACACTCTCCTTCAAACCCTACGCAACACCCATCCCCCTCCTAGGAGCTGACTCAAGCTTCACCACTCTTGCCAAGGGTTCATCCACAGTCCCGTGCCCCGCCTTCCCTTCCGGCACTGTCACTGGAATGTGCGTGCCTTCACTCCGCCACAATCTCGTGGCCCAAACGGAAATTCAGGATGCTGGGCTACGCACCATCTTCTGGGAGAACGAGAACTATGGTGATATCCTCGACCCACTCACCAACAAGGTCTTGACTCGTTTCACCCTCAACAGCAGCGGCCTTTACACACTGCAAGTACCCATCCCACAGGTGTCAACCACCCAAGCAGAGGCAACTACCCCACCATGCTCGTGCCGCAGTTTCTCCAACCCGACCATACTCTACCACCATCGGCTCGGGCACCCAAACTTCCGCACACTTGCTGACATGGCCTCCAAGAAACTTCTACTCGGCCTGCCAGCCTCACTTCCTCCACCACCAGATTCCCCCGCTCCCACGTGCCTTGACTGCACCAAGAGCAAACTGCGTCAACAGCCCCACCCGGCCTCACCCTCTGTCGCAGCAGCACCACTGGACTTGGTACACCTGGACGTCTGGGGCCCTGCCCTTGTTCCCGCACGAGGTGGTTATCGCCACTTCCTTGTTATCGTCGATGACCACTCTCGCTACGTCTCTGTTCACCTCCTCCACACTAAGGCTGCGGTTCCAGAGGTCCTCATGGCGTGGGTTAAACAGGCACAGACCACCTTTGATCGCAAAGTCAAGCGCCTTCACTCGGATGGTGGTGGTGAGTTTTGCAACGACAAGCTCAAAGCCTTCTGCTCCTCAGAAGGCATCCAGCAAAACTTCACCCTCCCTGACAGCCCGAAGCAGAACGGCATAGCTGAGAGCCGCAACCACACCCTGGTGCAGATCACTCGGTGCCTCCTCGGCCACTCCAACGCTCCGCACTCTCTTTGGGGGTACGCTCTCTACCACGCCGCCCTCCTCTACAACCTTTACCCCCACCCGCATCTTCCTGACACCACTCCAACCACACTCTGGCTCGGGAAAACGCCCACTGCTCGCTCTCTTCGCGTTTGGGGGTGCACCGCCTATGTCCTCCTCAACCCTCAGGCTCGACGGCAGCACGGCGGCAAGCTCGGTCCCAAGACCTAGACGTGCATCTACCTCGGGCACAACGCTGACTCGCCTGACTACCTCTTCCTCAACCCCTCCACTCAACAGTTGGTCCGGAGCCGCGACGTTGTCTTTGATGAGACCCGTCCATTCTACTCTACCTCGGAACGGGTCTCTCTCTCTGATCCACCCTCCCTCGTGTGGGCAGACTTTGATGCGCCTCCTGACCTCCCGCCTGCTCCGGCCCCTTCACCTCCTACCCCTCCTGCCACCGCACCGTCCCCCTCTGAGGTCTCTGACCCGCCCTCACCGGTGTCTTCGGCAGCTGCTCCTCCCTCCCCCTCACCTGCCGCCCTGCCATCTGCGCCGCCACCTCCGAGCGCACCAATCACATACCATTGGCGGTCGCACCCTCCGGCCCCACCTCCTCCCCCAGCCCCCCCTTCCTCCCAGGCACCCGCTCCTCCACAGCCGCCCGAACTGATCACGTACAAGCGGCGGCCAATTCCCCCGCCCAAGCCTCCTAAGTCAATCCCTCAGCCACCGCCTGCTCCGCCCTCCTCTCCGGTAGCCCATGGCACTCGCTCGCACGGCCCTGCTCCTCCTCTGGCCCTGGCTATTCGTTGCTCCACGATCACTTCGACTCCTCCTGCCGGGGGGGATGTGCCCTCTACCCTTCTGGAAGATAGGCATGAGGAGCTTTATGATCTTCACGCACTCATTCCCCAGCTCTCGCACATCTTCCCTGACATCACTGAATCATCGTCACTCAACTTCACGGAAAACCCGACCATCCCTATCCCTCTCACCGTCCAAGAGGCTCTCTCAGGCCCTCATGCTGCCGAATGGCGTGCTGCCATGGAAGCGGAGATTGAAGCATTCACCCGCAACCACTCCTTCGACGACGAGACTCCACCTCCAGGAGTCAACATCGTCGGGGGCAAGTGGTTATTCCGTGTAAAACAGCTCCCAGACGAGGCCCCGGTGTTCAAAGCGCGTTACGTAGCCAAGGGCTTCACCCAGCAGCAGTACCGCGACTTCTTCCTAACCTTCTCCCCCACATCCAAACCTCCCACCATTCGTACGCTCATGGATGTCGCAGCTCGAGAAGACTTTGAGATCAAATCCATGGATGCCTCATCCGCCTTCCTACAAGGACGTCTCAAGGAGACAATGTTCATGGACAGACCTGAAGGCTTCCCAGGAGAATTCCCTCCCAACACTGTCTGGAAGCTGAATCGCCCCGTCTACGGCCTTAAGCAAGCCCCTCGCGAATGGCACAACATAAAGAAGTCCTCCTCTCCCTGGACTTCCACCCTTCATCTGCTGACCCGACTCTCTTCATCCGCCGTCATTCTGAGCCATTCTACATCCTGGTCTACGTGGATGACTTCATCCTCGTTGCCAAGGACTCGGCCCAGATGACATCTGTCCAGGCAGCTCTGAGCAAGACCCTCCAGATGAAAGACCTCGGTGACCTCAAGCACTACCTGGGGATGGAGATCACTCGTGATCGCCAGGCTCGCACCATTTCACTCTCCCAGGAGTTCTACATCGACAATGTGCTCAAGCGGTTTGAGATGGAGCTGTGCACACCTGTTGCCACCCCGTTGCCGCTGCAACACCTCCTCACAACTCCAGCTGTACCCACACCAGAGGCCTGCTCTGAGCCATACCCGGAGCTTGTTGGGTCCCTCATGTACGCCATGATGTGCACCCGGCCGGACTTGGCCTATCCTGTCAGTGTCCTCTCTCGCTACGTGGCCCCTGGACGCTTCACTGATCTTCACTGGAAGGCGGCGAAGCGGGTGCTGCGCTATCTTCAGGGCACCAAGTCTCACGTTCTTACACTCGGTGGGCTCTCCCCTCCTCGCCTGGAAGGTTACACCGACTCTTCCTGGGCTGATGACCAGACCGACCGAGGCTCCTCTCAGGGGTACTGCTTCACCCTTGGGAGCGGAATTGTCAGTTGGCGCTCCACCAGGTCGTCTGCAGTCTCCCTCTCCTCATGTGAGGCAGAGCTCTACGCAGGCACTATGACTGCTCAGGAGGCCCGTTGGCTCACCTTCCTACTCCAGGAGCTTGGTTTCCCACAGTCCGCCCCCACCCTTTGGTGTGACAACCAGAGTACCATCCACATCTCTCAAGACCCTGTGTATCACACCCGCACCAAGCATATTGAACTCCGGCGCTTCTTCATCCGTGACCTTGTCCAGCAGGAGCAGTTGACAGTGGAGTACGTAGCATCTGACTGCAACCTGGCTGATCTGTTCACCAAGCCCCTTGGGAAAGTTCCCCACCACCGTCTCCTTGGCGCCATGGGGCTCTGTGCTCCACCCTCTCTGCCCTGAGTTCGATTGACGCCTATGGGGGGGTGTTCGTGTTAGCCTTCAATCTCACACTTTGTACTTTGTATTTTCTATATCCTAGAGTAGTGTAGTTTGCACATTGTGTTTGGTTGGGTGTACACCTACATCCCAACCAAACCCAAATGTAATCTCCAAGCAATCTCCAACCCACCAATTGGAGATTGCCTTGGGATTACCCCCAATCCCCAGGGATTGCCTCTGATTCCCTTCCCCAACTATTCCTTACCCTTTTTGGATGTACTTAAAGAGCTTCAAGCTCATTACTAATGTATCGCTTCTAAGCCTAAGTTCTCACACTACCTCCCCCCTCAGATGTTACCTTCCTCAGATGCTACCTCCCCTCATGTGATACATACCCTGCATGCACTTGTGACTAGGTCCGATTGATGCTCCGACAAGAACCAGAAGGTTGCCATTGTCTCCCGGACCTGAAGAACAGGCTCGGCATGCAGTCACAGCAAGACACCAGACCACATGGTTAAGTACGTTGTGTGAGCTAAACGAGTTTCCCATTCAGTGTGCAAAGCAATCAGCCTAAACAGCAAGGCAAGCAGGCTGAAGCAGAAACTGACACGCAGAAGAAGGAGACAGGCATGTGATGCGCATTGAGAAGCTAGCTTTGGAATCAGAGTAGAGACGAACGATGCAATACTGCTATCAAGGCACCTATGAATACCCTTGACATTCTCAAAAGAGCACAATAAGGGCAGGAATACAGGAAAAACGAGCTGACTTTTGAGTCGACTCAAAAGTCAGAGGAAAGAGATCGTAATGAAGAAAACGGTTGAGCAGGAGTGAGTTATTCTACCCATCTCGGGTTGAAGATTCTGCACCTTCAAGCTCAAGCATTCTGCAGTGCTTGCCGTGGGTTTTGAGACGTCTCAAAATCCACCCACCTCGGATTGAAGATCCTCCAGCTCCAAGCTGGAAGATTCTGCAGTGCTTGCTGTGGGCTGTTCAGAGCACTCATCCCCACCGCTGGGCTGCTGCTGCTGCTGCTGCTGCTGCTGCTTCAGGGGATTGTTTGCCAACGCGCCTGCCATCCATGCTGCTGCAGCCTGGGCCTGGGGCGAACGGTCCTTCTGCAAGGAGGAAGGGAGGGGCAGTGCGAAGAGGTAAGAGTGCTGCCAAGCCTGCTCGCTAATGTGTCTGCCTGCCATCCATGCAGTTGCGGCAAGATGAAGCAAGAGGGGCTTTTGGGTTACGACCCCTCTGCAAACAGACAGATGTAGCATGCTTTTATATGTATACATATTTATATATATACATATACATTTAGGGGTTTAGATACTGAATATATTAAAAAAAAACTTTTTTTTTCTCCTTCCGAAAAGACTCTTACCAAAGGGTCCATTCCTTACCATGATGGCTCGCGCTGATTGGAGGATGGTGGCAGCTGGCAGCGCCTGATTGGCTAGGAAGTCGCAATGGGAGAGGCACTGAGGGACGTGATGTGAATGGGCAGGGCGGGGAGAGTTGTGGGGGAAGACAGGGAAGGGAGGGGAAGGGCAGGAAAGGGAACAAAGAGATGGGATATGATGGGAAGCTGCAGTGGGAGAGACACTAAGGGATGGGCGTGGTGTGAAGGGGCAAGGGGGAAATGGTTCGGAAGAGGAGAGTTGGGAATGGGAAGAGGTGGTTGGGGGGAGAGTTGGGGGTTGGGGAGGGAGAGTTGGGGGTTGGGGAGAGTGTGGGCGGCGGAGAGGAGAGAGCTAGTGAAAGAGGAGTGAGAAAGGAGTACGATGAGTGGAGGGGGGAGGAGGGGTGAAGTGGCACGAGGAAGCTTTGATGATTGAAGTGAGATGGAGAAAAAATGTTCAGCAGATGTACATGCGGGCATGATTCTATGTGCTGAAATGCCACTGCCACATGGCATGGAATATGCCACATGCCCTATGCTATATGCCATGTGCCATGTGCCATATGCAACATGCCAGATGCCACATGCCAAATTTCATACCTGGTGTGTGCAAATGGCTGCAGCGAGTGAAACCATGGCGCTTGGGTCTTGCAGGGAGAGAGCAGCCGTAGAAAGAATGCGATGACCCACGGGGGGTGGTGGGGACGAGGACTGGGGGAGCTGCAAGGGAGGGTAAGGGCAAGTAGCGGGGTGAGCCATGGAGGAAGGTGAGGACGAGGACTGGGGGAGCTGCAAGGGAGGAGGGGAGACGGGACGGAGTGGGGACGGGGGTAATGCAACACAAGTGTTGCAGCACTGTGCTAGGAGCCTTCTCAAAATCGGGTTACATTGAGTCTGGAAAATAATGTAACACAAGTTTTGCAGCACTTCGTTACAGGTGCGATGGGGAGGGAGTGAGACGCGGGGAGGAGAGAATGTGATCCGCTAGAGGGGTATGGAGAGGTGTGAGGAGGTGTGCCGGGCTGTGTGATGGTGTGTGTGGGCAGCCAAGGTCTGTTGCAAAACGAGTTACCTTAGAGAGTATAAGCAGGATGACAGCTCGAGCAGCAGAGGAAGCTTCCTGGAAGCGCTCCAGCTGCCATGCAATCGTTGCCTCCAAATCAGAACCGTCCTTTCTGCAAGACAGAGGAGGCAGAAGATCAGAGCCAGAAAAAGATTGGTGGGCGGGTGGGTCTATGAGTAGACTGAAGGATCAGATGAGCTGTGTCCTTTCTGGGATGCCACGGAGTCAGTGGGGAAGATTGGGTGGGACTGGGTGGGACTGGGCGGGACTGGGTGGGACTGTAGCGTATGTGTGTATGGTGCCCCCTTACCTCCACCCCACGCTCACGGCATGGCATATGAGAGCAGCGTCTGTGATATACTTGTACACGCTCGTGCACTCCACGGCCTGGATGAGAAACGCCTCAACGGGTAGCAACTGCTGTGGGTGGGACACAAGGCGAGGAGGGGGAAGCGCACAGCCGTTCTAATGAGAGCAGCATCGATGATGTGCTTGTACACACTCGTGCACTCCACGGCCTGGATGAGAAACGCCTCAACGGGTAGCAACTGCTGTGGGTGGGACACAAGGCGAGGAGGGGGAAGCGCACAGCCGTTCTAATGAGAGCAGCATCGATGATGTGCTTGTACACACTCGTGCACTCCACGGCCTGGATGAGAAACGCCTCAACGGGTAGCAACTGCTGTGGGTGGGACACAAGGCGAGGAGGGGGAAGCGCACAGCCGTTCTAATGAGAGCAGCATCGATGATGTGCTTGTACACACTCGTGCACTCCACGGCCTGGATGAGAAACGCCTCAACGGGTAGCAACTGCTGTGGGTGGGACACAAGGCGAGGAGGGGGAAGCGCACAGCCGTTCTAATGAGAGCAGCATCGATGATGTGCTTGTACACACTCGTGCACTCCACGGCCTGGATGAGAAACGCCTCAACGGGTAGCAACTGCTGTGGGTGGGACACAAGGCGAGGAGGGGGAAGCGCACAGCCGTTCTAATGAGAGCAGCATCGATGATGTGCTTGTACACACTCGTGCACTCCACGGCCTGGATGAGAAACGCCTCAACGGGTAGCAACTGCTGTGGGTGGGACACAAGGCGAGGAGGGGGAAGCGCACAGCCGTTCTAATGAGAGCAGCATCGATGATGTGCTTGTACACACTCGTGCACTCCACGGCCTGGATGAGAAACGCCTCAACGGGTAGCAACTGCTGTGGGTGGGACACAAGGCGAGGAGGGGGAAGCGCACAGCCGTTCTAATGAGAGCAGCATCGATGATGTGCTTGTACACACTCGTGCACTCCACGGCCTGGATGAGAAACGCCTCAACGGGTAGCAACTGCTGTGGGTGGGACACAAGGCGAGGAGGGGGAAGCGCACAGCCGTTCTAATGAGAGCAGCATCGATGATGTGCTTGTACACACTCGTGCACTCCACGGCCTGGATGAGAAACGCCTCAACGGGTAGCAACTGCTGTGGGTGGGACACAAGGCGAGGAGGGGGAAGCGCACAGCCGTTCTAATGAGAGCAGCATCGATGATGTGCTTGTACACACTCGTGCACTCCACGGCCTGGATGAGAAACGCCTCAACGGGTAGCAACTGCTGTGGGTGGGACACAAGGCGAGGAGGGGGAAGCGCACAGCCGTTCTAATGAGAGCAGCATCGATGATGTGCTTGTACTCGTGCACTCCACGGCCTGGATGAGAAACGCCTCAACGGGTAGCAACTGCTGTGGGTGGGACACAAGGCGAGGAGGGGGAAGCGCACAGCCGTTCTAATGAGAGCAGCATCGATGATGTGCTTGTACACACTCGTGCACTCCACGGCCTGGATGAGAAACGCCTCAACGGGTAGCAACTGCTGTGGGTGGGACACAAGGCGAGGAGGGGGAAGCGCACAGCCGTTCTAATGAGAGCAGCATCGATGATGTGCTTGTACACACTCGTGCACTCCACGGCCTGGATGAGAAACGCCTCAACAGGCAGCACCTGGGACAGGCAAAGACGTAGGGAGAGGGGGTGGGATAGGGCACAGCTGTTCAACGAGAGCAGCGCCGGTGATGTGCTTATACACACTAGCACACTCCATGGCCTGGGAGAGAAACGCCTCAACTGATACTACCTGAGATAGGGCACAGCGCGAGGGAAGGAGGGAGGGAGGGATAGGGAACAGCCTTATGAGAGCAGTGTCTGTGATATACTTGGCTTGGGAGAGAAACGCCTCAACGGGTAGCTCCTGCGATAGGGCACAACAGAGAGGGAGGGATGGAGGGATAGGGCACAGCCCTTGTTATGGGAGCAGCATCTGTGATGTGCCTGTACTGTACACACTCGCGCATTCCACAGCTCGCACGAAAATAGCCTCAATACACAGCTCGTGCAGAGAGAAACAAAAGAAGGGAAAAAGGGGGCGCAGTTGGACAAATCCGCTTTCCCTCCCTCTTTCCTCCACCCTCTCCTTTCCCTCCCGCTTCCCCCCCCTCCCTCTCCCCCGTCCTCCCTCTCCCCACCCTCTCTTACCAACCTCATATCTCATGCCCCTCTGCAGTTAGCATAGCCCTCATAAGGGCCTCCACCAGTCCTCACAACACCGAAAGCACCTCCCTCCTCTCCCCTCCCCTCCCTCCTCTCCCTTCACCTCCCCCCTCTCCCCTCCCCTCCCTCCTCTACTCACTGTTGTAATTTCATATCTTATACAACATACATAAGCTAGAATTAGATGTGTAGCACATTTATAAATTGGGGGGTTGTTTAGTGTACCCTCCAACCACATTTTGTGGTTGGTTGGGATTGGTCCTTAACTCAACCAATCCCAACCAACACACATTTGTGGTTGCTTGGGCCACAAGCAAGCTCACCCATTGGTCAACATATTGGCCAATCGGGTAAGCTTCCCTCTCATCTCTCTCTTGCTCATTGTTTGTACTAAAGGGCCTCTTGGCTCATTATTCAATTGATCAATTCTCTCTTTCAACACTCACCTCATCACCCTGCTCTCCCACCGTCAGCATAGCCCGCACAAGGGCTTCCACCAGTCCACACAGCACCGACAGCTGCCCCACTGTCACGTCAATCCCGCTCTTCCCATTCTCACTGGTATTTCCCTCCTGAAGCACGTTCTCAGGTGAGAAGGTTTCGAGGGCCTGGGGGCAGGGGTGTGGAGGGAGGGAGGTGACATGTCAATCCCGCTCCTCCCATTCTCACTGGTATCCCCCTCCTGAATCACGTTCTCGGGTAAGAAGGCTTCGGGGGCCTGGGGAAGGGAGGGTTGTGGAAGGGGGTGTAAGAATTCAAGCAGGAAGTAATGCAACAAGGATTAAAAAAAAAAGTGGAGGGAAAAAGGCCCGAGAGAGAGAGAGAGAGAAAAATGAAGCACACCGAGTTCCAGCAGCAAGTGTGTGAGGGGTTTCATTTCATTCATATGTTTCATTTCATAGATATGACGGCATACCTCGTTAAGAGGATGGTGGTTGAGGAACTGAGCCACAGAGCGGAGAGCACCGTAAACCAGCCTGCACAGCAGGATAGATGGATATGACGGTGCAGAGTGGTACAGAGTGGTGCAGATAAGGTTGTCGGATCGCGCCAGTGCGGGTAAAGTTCCGGTAGAGAACAAGGCTGAGAACATGTGCACAAGGCGGCATTAGACTAACAGGAAAGGGTCGCTGGACCACAGCCCTCCATGTGCCGCCATGATGGCCCCATTAGATCTCTTGTTCAGGTGGTGGAAGCGAGAGCAGCCTCGCTGGCTGTGGGAATGCATGGCAAACCAGCTCACTCACAGGAAAGGGTCGCTGGACCACAGCCCTCCTTCAGGTGCTGTGATGGCATCGTTGATCCTCTTGCTGAGCGGGCCCTCGGAAGCAAGGGCAGCCTCCGGGTGAGAGGCGATGGTGTCAATGGCGAGAGCACAGAGCAGCAGGTGAAGGGTGTAGACGGTGGGGATGGTGTAGGGTAGTGCTGCTTGCTTGAGGTTGGCTGAAGGGTGCCTGCAGGGGGGAGATAGGGGGGGGAGGGAGGGGGAAGAGAGAAAGGTCAGGGTTTAGGGTTTAGGGTGAGAGCACAGAGCAGCAGATGGAGCGTGTGGACGGTGGGGATGGTGTAGGGTAGTGCTGCTTGCTTGAGGTCGGTCAAAGGGTGCCTGTAGGGAGAGAGATGTGGGAAGGGGGAGAGAGATGTGGGTAAGGGGGACAGCGAGGGATAGAGAGGGGGCAGGGAAGGGGAGGGCACAGACGGTGTCGACGAGTGAGAGCACAGATCAGAGCAGCAGATGCAGCGTGTGGTCAGTGGGGATGGAGTATGGCAGTGCTTCTTGGTTGAGGTTGGACGAAGGCGGAGAAGGGGGGAGGGAAAGAAGGAGAGAGCACAGGTGGTGTCGATGACGAGAGCACAGAGCAGAGCAGCAGATGCAGCGTGTGGACGGCGGGGATGGAGTAGGGTAGTGCTGCTCCCCACCCTCCCCCTCACTCAACACTCAGCACTCCTTACATCCCCATTTTTGAGCCGCGTTACAAGAATATTCACCTGAGCATCAACCCAAGAGTTCGAATGGCCGCCTTAGAGCCAGAGGAGTAGATGAAAGGCTTGCCTGCAGTCCATGGCTACGTGAGTGTTTACTCCCCCTACTTGTGCAAACCTTCTTGAGTCGACTCAAGCATGCGCTCTCACCTGAGCATGATCCCAAGCGACCTGATGGCCGCCTTGGAGGCAGAGGAGTAGATGAAGGGCTTGCCTGCACTCCCCACACTCCCTGCACTCCCCACACTCCCTGCCCTCCCCACACTCCCTGCCCCACCAAAACTCCCCCCACTTGTACCACCCCTCTTGAGTCGACTCAACAGTAAGCTCTCACCTGAGCATCAACCCAAGTGTTTGGATGGCCGCCTTGGAGCCAGAGTATATGAAGGGCTTGGCCGCACTCCCCACACTCCCTGCCCTCCCTCCCACACTCCTCCCACGAATCACCTGAGCATGATCCCAAGAGTTCGAATGGCCGCCTTAGAGCCTGAGGGGAAGATAAAAGGCTTGCCTGCAGTCCATGGCTACTTGAGTGTTTACTCCCCCCACTTGTGCAAACCTTCTTGAGTCGACTCAAGCATGCGCTCTCACCTGAGCATGATCCCAAGAGTTCGAATGGCTGCTTTGGAGGCAGAGGAGTAGATGAAGGGCTTGCCTGCACTCCCCACACTCCCTGCACTCCTTGCCCTCCCTGCATGTGAGGCAGCAGCAACCACCGCAGCTGCAACTGTAGCGCTTGGATCAAAGGTGAGCGAAGCGGCGGCAGCACCACCACCAGCAGCAGCAGCACCACCACCGGCAGCAGCAGCAGCAGCAGCCTCAGATACAGCCTTCCCCAGCTGTGCCTGCTCCGCTGCTGCTGATGCAGCAGATTCGTCCTGTTGCCCCTCTGTAAGTACCCCTGCTGCTGCTGCTCCAGCCCCTTCTGGCGTTGCTAACTGCTCACTCCCGTGCTGCTCTAGCGATTGTGGCTGTGCTGCTTGATGCAAGCCTTCCACCAGGCCAACCGGGTCAAAGCCCGGAATGAGCTTCGGCAGGAGCAGGTGGAACAGCTGAGGGCCGAGAGATGGGTGCCGCGCAATTTCCTGTGGAGAGAAATGCGGAGAGGGAGATGAGGGAGGCACAGGGAAGGAAGGAAAAGCGAGTTTTGGAGATTGGAAAGCAGCCAGACCAATCGAGTCGAAGCCAGGAATGAGCTCTGGCAGAAGCAGGTGCAACAGCTGAGGGCCCAGCCAGGGGTGCCGAGCAATCTCCTGCAGAGAGAGGGAGGGGCGCCAAGGGAAGAAATGGTGGGCACCGGCAGTAATGATGGCATTGTTGACGAAGAAGTTCGAAACCATTTCATACTGCACAATACCGCAGAACACCCCTTTGCACTACCTTCCCACTCCACACCATCGCACCCACCACACCTCTACAAGCTCTTCAAGTGCTGGCAGCTTCCCAGAAGTTTCTTCCACATGTTGTAGCACGCAGCGGAACAGGGCAGGGGGGTCGCAGGCAGCCGCCAGAGAGCAGACCTGGCAGAGGGTTTAGGGTTTGCAGAAGCGGAACTGGGGAGTTTAGGGTCGATGAGTCCAACCAGCACGCAGTGGAACAGGGCAGTGAGGTCGCTCGCAGGCAGCCGCCAGAGAGCAGAGCTGGCACGGATTAGGGATTGACGGATTTGGCGGGGTGCGGAGCTCCTAACTTGACTCAAACAGCCCACCTACCAAACTTGATAGACTGCATGTGAAAGGAATGTGAATGACGCGAGCTGTAAGCACTCACCGCAGCAAAGGCAGGCAAGCGCGCAGAGCGGTAGTGACACCCAAGGGAGGCTGACACGATGCGCTCAATGATCCTCCCCGCCCTGCCCTGCTGCTCCTGCCGCTCCTCCTGCTGCTGCAGCTGCAGCTGCTTTGTGCCGTGCGCTTCTGACTGCAATAAACCCTCTTCACATTCCCCCTGCTGCAGCAGCTGGTGGCCTCTGAGGGAGACGATTCGAAGGACAGCCTCCATGCACCGGCTCACCACACTCCCCACGTACTCACACTCCACTGCTGCTGCGCCCTGCAAGTGATCTAGGTCGCTGGACCCTCTGCCCCCATCTTCCCGTGCTTGCCGCTCCTGGTTCTGCGAGGTTTCCCATGCGGCTGCAGATGTGGCTGAACCAGTGTTGATGGAGTTGGGGGAGTGACCAGCACAAGTGATGTGGAGAAACGCGTCTGCTGCCAGCAGCAACACTGCGACCTGTGGAGGGGAGGGGGGGGGTTGGCAAGAATGACAGGTTGATGGTGAGGTAGTTACCAGGTAACATGGAAAAACGCGTTTGCTGCTGCCAACAGTAGCACTCCCACCAAGGGAGGAGAGAGGCAAGGGGTAGAGTAAGTGGTTCAATTCATGGTAACGTGGTTACCAGAAGTATGCTGCCAGTGAGTTATAGCATTGGCACTTGGTGAGCAAGACAGGGAGCGGGAAACTTCCCATCACATGGCTCCTCACTTCATTACTCCTCATCTCATGGACCAGGATGACATCGGCATTGCAGTCCAAGCAACGTCAACTCTAAACGCTAAACCAGTGCCCATCACTCCTCTACCTCCTCTTCAGTACACGCACACAACAAGCATCAGATTATTTCAGATTTCGCCTCACCTCATCTGGCTTCAGCACATGTAGAACGCCAAACAGCTGTGCCCATCGCTCTTCAACCGCCTGGTTTTTGGGAAGTCTAAAAAACCAGCTCGTTTCAAATTTCGCCTCGCCTCATCTGGCACCAGCACATGTAGAACGCCAAACAGTGTTTTGAGTCGACTCAGAACACAAACATCAGATTGTTTCGAATTTCACCTCACCTCATCTGGCATCAGCAGCACATGATGAGGTGAGGCGAAATTTGAAACAATCTGAACGCCAAACAGCTGTGCCCATCGCTCTTCTACCTCCTTAACAATACACGCGCACAACAAGCTATCATACACTTCATGCATCCCCGCTCGCCCTCACCTCGCCTGCTGTCAGCACATGCGCAACACACTCCACAGCACCGTTAAACAGCACTGCCCGTCGCTCCTCTACCCTCTCCCCAAAACAAACAGATACAACACACACCATTCCCTTCACATTGTGCCCTCACCTCATCTGCCGTCAGCACATGTGCAACACACTCCACAGCAGAGTCAAACAGCACTGCCAGTTGTTCCTCTGCCCCCTCCGACGTCCCAACCTGCGACATACCCTGCAGGGTGAAGGGTGGAGCAGCAACAGGGTGAGGTGGAGGAATAGCGTGTGTGTGTTTCTGAGTTGATGCTACGGGCGGTTAAGGGGAGGTGCTTCAGAGACAGACACCCCATGTGGCTGACGTGGAACTATGAGAAGAACCAGGATGACCAGAAGACGCATGGCATTGTGCCGCCCACCCATCCTCACTATAAGCACGCCCACCTCATGCAACGCTGCAGGGACTGCAGACACATAGTACTGGCCATCCCATCCTCGCTACAGACATCCCCACCTGATGCACACATACTACTACTGCCCACCCCATCCTCGCTATAAGCTTCCCCACCTGATGCGAAGCTGCAGTAGAGACCTTGGCTTCCAAAGCAGCAAGGAGGGCGGAGTGCGTCGGTTGAGAGGAGGAATGGGGAGAAGGAGATTCAGAAGAAGTGCTGGGAACAGCAGAAGCTGCTGTTGCTGCTGCTGTTGCTGCTGCTGTTGCTGCTGCCGGCTGCTCTTCCTGCTGACTGCTGGTTTCGGTGGTTTCCTCTAATTGGCGGGTGGCCGGGTGAGTGGAGACAGGCAGAGAGGAGGAGGGAGAGGCTGGGGGGGAATGGGCTGATTGTGATGAAACCTCAGGTGGGTTGTCAGGAGAAACGCAGGAGGCCTCAGGTGGAGAGGAGAGGGCGACAGCTGTGGTCAGGAGCAACAGAACCACCTGGTGGGATGAGGGGATGGGGAGGCAGAATGGCAAGTTGACAGTTTGATACTATGGCAGAATGACAGAATGGCAGATTGGCAGATGGGCGAAAAACTAGAATGGCAGGGAGTAGGATGATTGGAACTCGGGGCGAGGGGCAAGAGAGGGGAGAGCGAGAGGAAGGGGAGAAGTGGAGGAGCGGAGGTGGATGGAAGCTGAGGGCTGGGGGGGAAACAGTGGTTTAAGAGGGAGGAAGGGGAGGAAGGGGAATTTGCAGTGTGGGGTGGGTAGCATTGGCACAGGGATTTGCTGTCGCAGGCATGTTTGATCAAATACCTTGCAGCCGAGCAGTTGCAGTGCGAGGTCGGCATTGGCACAGAAGGGCAGAACGACAGCCACGTGATGGCCGAGATTGAGCGAGGGGCGTGATGGGAGGGTGTGATCTGGGAGGAGAGGGGGAGGTTGGTGAGAAGGGAGTGAGAAAGCAAGTTGTCAGAAGTCTCAAACTAGACAGCCGTGTGGTGATCGCCATTAAGAGATGGGTGCAATGGGGGGGGTGTTGTGTGCTGGAAGGGAGAGGGGTGAGGTGAGGACGCAGGTAAAGCCTTATAAGGTGCCTCGGAATATGATGGTGCAGAAGGAGAGAATAGCGCAGTCCCTCACTTGGCACACCCATACCTTGCTGTCTTTCCACGTACCTCACTCCACCGTTGCTAGCTGCAAGAAAACCACGCACTTCCTCCTTGCAGCAACCCGGCAGCCCCGGCTCCCCTAGCGTCAGCGCATGGAACTGAGCACACACTGCCAGGTACGCTGCCACTAGAGCACACATCTTGCCTTACCTTGCTCTCTTTCCATGTACCGCACTCCACCACTGCTGGCCGCAAGGAAACCGCGCACTTCTCCCTGACAGCAGTCTGGCAAACCTTGCTCCCCAAGCGCCAGCCCATGGAACTGGGCACACACTGCAAGGTACGCTGTCACTAGTGCACACATGTTGCCTTACCTTGCTGTTTTTCCGTGTACCGCACTCCACCACTGCTGGCCGCAATGAAGCCAGACACTTCTTCCTTGCAGCAACCCGGCAGCCCTTGCTCTCCCAGCACCAGCGCATGGAACTGGGCACACACTGCAAGGTACACCGTCACAAGAGCACACGAATTACCTTGCTGTCTTTCCGTATACCGCACTTCACCGCTGCTAGCTTCGAGAAAATCGCGTACGTCTTCCTGACAACAACCCGGCAGCCCTTGCGCCCCTAGAGCCAGCGCATGGAACTGAGCACACACTGCCAGATACGCCGTCAGCACCCTCTGCTGTGACAATGCCACTACCTCCACTGCTGATAATGATTCCGCCTCTCCAGTTTCTCTCTCCCGTTCCCCCCCTCCCCCCCCTCCTTCCTCTCCTCCTCCTCCTCCTCTCTCTCCTCCTCCTGCTGCACCCCCCAGGTTTGATTTTCCTCTTGTCCGAAGCCCAGGGCTCCCTGGCTGGCTGCTAGGTTTGCTCCCAGGCTTGCTGCCTGCTTGGGTTTGAAGTGGTGCTGCTGGGTTGGGATGGGTGATACTGGGTGGAGTGGCGTTGGATGGGAAGGCGGATGATAGGAGAGTGGTGGGGTTGAGGGCTGAGGGTAGGTGGGAGGAGGGCTGGGGAGGAGGAGGGGGTGGGAGGAGGAGGGAGAGCATGATTTGTAACTGCTCCTCCTCCTCCTTGCTGTCCACGTTGCTGCAAGAAGAAGGAAGAGAGAAGAGAGAGCGTGAGCTGGGAGAGTTGAAGGTTACGCATGAGGTGGCATGTGGTTGCATGTGGTGGCTGGGGATGGCATGTAGTGGCATGTAGTGGCATGTAGTGGCGGCATGTGGTGGCATGTGGTGGCATGTAGTGGCTGGTTAGACGAGCGCATGAGGCGGAGCGTGAATGTGTGGAAGCTCTTTCTCTTCCTCCTTCCCATCCTTGACCCTGTCACCATATCTATTGCTCACCTCCTCTGTATCTCACCTCATCTGTAGCACGCTACAGAGCAGAGAGATGACACTGACAGCCAATGGACCAAGCTGTTGCCGTCTTCCCCTCCTCTCCCTCCCACTCGTCCTCCTCGCCCTCCTCGTTCCCCCTCTTTCCTTCCTCCTCTCTCTCTCCACATCCTCCTCACAGTCACTCTCACTATCTGATCCACTTGAACTAGATCCCTCTCGCTCCTTCCTCCCCTCTCCTCCGCCCCTTCCCTCCACATCCACTATTCCTATCACCGTTTTTCCCCCTCTCCCCATTCCTCTCTCTCCTCCTTTCACACGCTCAGCCAGTGGTGAGTCGTCAATGCACAGCAGTGGAGTGACCGCCTGGAAGAGGTGGAAAGAGGTTGAGAGTTATTGAGATGGGAGTGAGAGAGATTGAGAGGGGTTGAGAGCCACTGAGATGAAACAGTGCCAATCACCCGAGCTTAACCTCACCTGCACCAATGCTTGCTCGCCTGCCCCTCCCTCATCTCACCTGCACCAATGCTTGCTCGCCTGCCCCTCCCTCATCTCACCTGCACCAATGCTTGCTCGCCTGCCCCTCCCTCATCTCACCTGCACCAATGCTTGGTCGCCTGCCCCTCCCTCATCTCACCTGCACACTCTTGCGAACGGCTGAAGTGAGCTGCGGATGAGATTGAATCAAAGCCGTGCACGCCCGCACACATGCCATCTGAAGCCGCACCTCCTCCTCCCCTAACACGTATGCCCCTCCCCCTCCCCCTCTTCCACCCACTCCCCCTCCCCCTCCCGCTCCCCCTGTGCCCCCATCCGCGTCACCAGCCCCCCTCACCCTCACAATAAACCTCGGTGCGGCAACACCACCTGCTGCCGAGCCTGAGCTCGAGCCTACACCCAAGCCTGCTGCCGAGCCTGGGGCTGCGGCTGGTACAGAGGTACTCGTTGGTCCGGGGAAAGAGACAGGAGTAGGAGCGGCGAGAGGCGACTGAAAGAAGGACGTAGAGGAAGCATAGGAAGCCAAGGAGGAGGAGGAGGTGGGAAGAGGTGAGGAGGTGGAAGAGGAGGAGGAGGATATGGAGGGTGGTGTGAGAGGGTGCGGGGAGGGGATGGGTGGGAGGAAATGGATGCAGCAGCTGATAAGATCGTCGCGGCTCTTGAGATTAATGGCGGTTGTTTGTGGTATGGAGGAGGCAGTTACATGACTTGTTGAAGTCGAAAGGACGGGGGCTAAATGAGCAGCAGGATAAGCGCTTGAATGGGGCGGTGGAGGGGTGGTGAGCGCAGGTGCAGGAGCGGTGAGAGCAGCAGAGGCGAGTGTAAGGATGGATTGAACCACGGCTGCCTTGGCTGGGAGGGATGTCACAGCAGCTAAGGGAGCAAACACGTTCGCATCCTGCATGGATAGTGGCAAGGGGTGGAACCGTGGGGGTGGTACAAGAACAAGAGGGAACAAGACAAACAGGGTGTAAGAGGGAAGAGAGCAGCAGAGGCGAGTGTGAGGATGGATGGATGGATTGCACCATCACCAGATCTTAAGCGAATTTAACTGACCAGCAGTGTTCTGATGCGCGAATCCACCACGGAAGCTTCCGAGAAGGCCACCGTGTACTGGTACGTCAGCGCCAACGCAGCGCACACGTCATCATGCATCAGCGGGTCCCGGAGGAAGTCAGCAGCTGCTGACGTGGCAGTCTCCTTCTTAAAGAGTCGCTCGAGAGGCGGGAGAGTGAGCTTGGGGGCGGAGGAAGCGGAAGCGGAAGCAGAGGAGGAAGAGGAGGAGGAGGAGGAGGAGGTTTTGGGGATGAAGATGGCCGATTGAGAGCCCAGGGTTTTGACAAACTGGTATATGCTGGTGGCATTGAAAAACGGGCAGGGGAAATAAACGCGCAGAGAAAGAAATGGGCGCGGGATGAGGTTTTTGTGACAAGCGAACAAGGGCCGAAATTTAATAATTTGGAATTAATTTGACAAAAATGAACAACTAAAATGCAGAAAAGTTGGATGGAATACCGTTGCAGGTTGGAGACAGAGTAAGAGTCGAGGACTTGCTCTAAGGTTGCGAGCACGACGTCGAGGTGTACAGCCGCCACCTGCGCACAGGGTTGAGAAGAGAGGTCACAGAGGGAGTTGAGTAAGCAGAGGGAGTAAGAGTCAAGGACTTGCTCTAAGGTTGCGAGCACAATGTCGAGGTGAGCAGCCACCACCTGCGTAGAGATAAGATACGGTTGAGAAGATACGGTTGAGAAGATACGGTTGAGAAGATACGGTTGAGAAGATACGGTTGAGAAGATACGGTTGAGAAGATACGGTTGAGAAGATACAGTTGAGAAGATACGGTTGAGCAGAGAAGGTTGAAAAGAGAAGGTTGAAAAACAGGACACCGAGGGGGTCAAATAGGAAGGCAAAGTCAATGCGAGGGGCGATCAAGTCTGTTCCTACCACGGAGAGGAATGAGAAGAGGAAAGGCAAGACTCACGGTGCCGAGGCCCATGGCAAGGGCGTGCCGATCGAGGGGGTCAGAAAGGGCAGTAGAGTCAATGTGCGGGGAGGGGCAATCAAGTCAATAACATGCAGAGCAGAGGACTAAGAAGAGGAAAGGCAAGACTCACGGTGCCGAGCCCCATGGCAAGGGCGTGCCGATCGAGGGGGTCAGAAAGGGCAGTAGAGTCAATGTGCGGGGAGGGGCAATCAAGTCAATAACATGCAGAGCAGAGGACTAAGAAGAGGAAAGGCAAGACTCACGGTGCCGAGCCCCATGGCAAGGGCGTGCCGATCGAGGGGGTCAGAGAGGGCGGCAGAGTCAAACATGAGAGCCACCCGGCGCTGAATAAAGACAGCGTCTGCCGCCCGCTGGACAAGCGCCCCCATGCACCTGGTGTGAGGGAGGCAGGAGGGGAGGGGGAGAGGAAGGAGAGAGAAAAAATGTGAACTTTGGTTGAGTTATCACTAAGAGAATAATGCGCGTATGCCTTTTGAGAATTCTCATGAGTTATCACAAAGAGAATAATGCACGTATGCCTTTTGAGAATTCTCATGAGTTATCACTAAGAGAATAATGCACGTATGCTCATATGCGCGGGTATGCTTATCCTGGGTAGTTGAGTAACACACCTGTGCAGCAGGATGTGTTGGGTTGCATCCATACACGGCCACAAGTAAAAGCAGCAAAGCTGCCAAACACAAACCCAATCCAATACAATGTGCCACGCACACATACATGCATCCATGCATGCTCGCTACAGGAAGCAGTAACCCACCCACCTGTGCAGCAGGATGTGTTGACTGGCATCCATGCACGGCCACAGGTAGAAGGCAGCAAAGCCGTCACACACCCGCGCGGTCCAGTCGGCATGGTTCACCGCTTCGATTGCTCTCTTGAGCATCTGAGGACACAAATTGAGAGAGAGCCTAGAAGCCACGTGTTAGAAGCTCGCAAAGCCGTCACACACCCGCGCGGTCCAGTCGGCATGGTTCACCACGTCAATTGCTCTCTTGAGCATCTGAGGACAAGAATCACATGATATGATGCCCACAGGTGTTCAAGGAGAGTATTTAAGGAGACGACTTTTAAGGTGCCTCAAATGGCGCCTCAAAGCTTGAGCATCTGAGGACAAGAATCACATGATATGATGCCCACAGGTTATTTAGGAGAGTATTCAATGAGACGAAGTTTGAGGCGCCTCAAAATAATATGATACGATGCCCACAGGTGTTCACGGAGAGTATTTAAGGAGACGACTTTTAAGGTGCCTCAAATGGCGCCTCAAAACTTGAGCATCTGAGAACAAGAGTAATATGATATGATGCCCACAGGTGTTCTAGGAGAGCTTTAAATACAACTGCTCTATTGAGCATCTGAGGACAAGAGTAACATGATATGATGCCCTTAGGTGTTCCAGGAAAGTATTTAAGGAGACAAGAGCACAAAAAATCACGCAAATGAGAGGTAAAAAAAAGCTGGCTCATGCCATGCCATGCCCCACAAATCACCCAAGAAACGAAGGAACACAGGGATAAGGGCAGAATCAGAAAGAGCGAGATATAGTATCAAACAGCTTCAGCACAGCTGCACAGCTAAGCATCTGATTGCCTGCCGTGTCCATTTGCACTCTCACTCGAAGGACCACAGAGAGTCACAGCGAGAAACCGGGAGATTGGTTGCGGGAGATGCGTCACAGAGAGTGAACACTCCACTTCACACAAGGAGAACGACAGCTGGCCCTGCTCGACCTTTAAATAAACACAAGAGACAATCCGAATGGTGCTTGAAAAAACACGTCGCTTCTAAATGAACTCAAGAGACAATCCGAACCTCGATGAACAAATGGTGCTCACAACCTCAGAACCAGCTTTCTCATTACCTTCATCCTCAAACTCTGCCAAACAGTGTTCTTGTGCTTCATTATGGCGTCTTGCCAAACAGCCCTTCTGCGCTCCAGAGACTGTTTAATCTCCAGGCGCTCTGCTAAGTATTTTTTCAGTCGACTCAGAAATCCCCTGATTACCTTCATCGTTGCGTCTTGCCAAACAGCTCTTTTGCGCTCCAAAGACTGTTTGCTCTCCAGGCGCTCTGCCAAGTGCGTCATGTGCTCGATCTGATGGGAAGGTGGGATGGAGGGAAGGAGGGACAGTGGGGAGGAGGGAAGGGCGGAAGAGGGGGTAGGAAGGAGGAAAGGAGGGAAAGCGGTTCTGCTATGTGCTTCAAGTGCTTGATCTCATTGAAAGGGAGTGGGTGGGAATTAAGAAAGAGAGTGACAAGAAACTAAATAAAAAATCTCAAACGTTATTTATAATTCGAAGTTCATCCTCAGAGAGAAATGCTACTGATATGACAGTTTGCCAAATAAATGCCACGCACCCTCAGAGCAGTAACGAGCAGGGTGTTAGAATTTATATATTATAGCATGCGAACACTTCTGACTGTACACCAAGAGTGGTGTACAGTTGGGTTGGTTCAGGCTCTAGTTTTGGGTGTATTGCGGGTAGACACCCTAATTGGGGTGAACCCAAATATCATAGCTTAGACTTGGCTCCAACCTTGTTGGCCAAATAAGGCAACCAACTTTGGTTGGTTGGCCACCACCCCACTAGGGTTGGTTGGATGGTCCTTCCTCCCACTAGCCTACTTGGTTTTGGTGTCTTATGTGCTAGGTTTGGTGTTCTTCTCCAACCTTCTCTCCCTTGTATAACCTTGTGCTCTCTTGAGCTAACTTCAATAATTCTTCCTCAAGTTTCTACAGCTTCTAATTTTCTTCACAGGGGTGCATAGCTCTTTTTTTTGCAAACATCGAGCAAGGGAAAATACATGGATAGAATATGACGAGCAGACCAGGCAAGACCAAGTGGGCTTACGTCGAGAGCCAGCGACTCGAACGCAGAAGGCAGAGTGCTCTGGCGAACAAACCCCAAAACCAGCCACAGGTGAATTATGCTACGTGTCAAGAACAGGGCTCTGGGGTCAGGTAAAAGAGGAGGCGTGCGTGGGCTTACGTCGAGCGCGAGAGACTCAAAGGCAGAAGGCAGAGTGCTCTGGCGAACAAACTCCAGGACCTGCGAACGTATCAAAGTAGAACATGAACACATAAACATAAAACTTGGAATCATTATAGTGAAATCAAGTAGGACAAATCCAGGAGAATTGTTGAGCAATCAGCATAACTACTCTTTGGTAAGCTTTCACATTGATTAGCCCTACTCTTCTAGGAGAGGACAGCGTACATACAAGACAGGGTAAGGAAGTCACCTGGAAGATTCTCATTCTCCTCGGTGCATCGATGAGTGTCTTGTCGCTTCCAAGCAAAACAAGCAACCGAGGTAGAAGCTCCTGGGAAGGAGGGAGAGAAGGACAGGGAATGGGACAGTAAGTCCCTACTTCAAAGAAATCGAAGGATTTGGTTCATTTATGGTTTCACATGATTTTACGGCGGTGTAGAGCGGTAACCATATCCCCACCTTTCAAGCATATTCAAGGATCACACACAGAGGATGTACCACGCCCTTACTACCTACCTCCAGAGAGGCAGCTTGAACTGGGAAATGCGGTTTTTTGTTTGTTCTTGTTTTTTCAATCTCACGTCCCAACAATGCCTTAGTACCTACCTCCAAAGGAGGCAGCTTGAACTGGGAAAGCCCTCGAATCTCCCTCTCTGCACTCTCGTCCTTCACACCAATGGCTGCACCCACTGTACCACCTGCATCCCCTCCCTCACTCCCATCACTGCTGGTCGCCCCCCCTTCTACCCCGCTGATTCCGCTGGCCCCCCCAGTTCCTCCTGTGGCTTCTTCCCCCGCTTCAGGCACAGCAGAGGGTGACTTCCGAGCGATGATCGTTGACAGGCATTGCAGGACCTGCGATTGGGGAGGCGTGAAGTAGTGAATGAACAGTGGGACGCGGCACAGCAAGTGAGAGACGGAATTTGATTAAGTAAGCAAAGATCATAGACGAACATCGGAATAGTGATTATTAAAGATAGAATGGTGACCGATGGTCTGTCCAACAAAGCTGGCAGATAAACATTGAAGGACCAGTTGCAATTAGGGGGCATTGAGTGAATGCGTGTGCTCAGAAGTACAGTGGGGTGCGACAGGATGCGGTTACCAGCGATAGGATGCGGTTACCAATGACAGGATGCGGTTACCAGCGACAGGATGCGGTTACCAGCAACAGAATGCGGTTACCAGTGGCAGGATGCGGTTACCAGCGGCAGGATGTGGTTACCAGTGACAGGATGCGGTTACCAGTGGTCAAATGCGGTTACCAGCGGCACGGCAGGATGCGGTTACCAGCGGTAGGATGCAGTCGAGGCTTGACTTCACCAGCGATCGCAGCAGAGCCAGCAGCAACACATCCTGCAGAATCAATGGCAGAGAGAAGCAGGCAAAGGGATATCGACTGAGAGAGAAGAGTGCAATCTGTTAGGCGCCTTTGGATTCGGAAGATAGAAATACAGACGTGCACTGAATAAGGCCAAAGCTATGCCCAAGGGTCAAGGGATACTGATGATTGAGAGCAGAGAAGCAGTGCGTGCGAGTGATGAAAAAGGGAAGACGAGCTAGCCACGGGAAAGCAGACAGATATATGCTGACGAATCTGGAAGAGATGTGCACACAGGATTTGAATCGAGAGAAGCCAAGAGAGCCATCACAAGCATGATTCAACATCCAAGGTATTAGCATGTATGGATGTGAGTCATGCATGTGATGGCTCTTCCAATTCCAAGGATCCTTGCTGCACACGTGACACAGCAAAGAATGTCTGAACGAAATCAACCATTCTACTCCTTGAGAGGGGTGTATGAATCGGTGACTCACATCCATGGTATGCACAGTATTGGCAAGGATGCTCAGTCCCTTGCTGCACACGTGATACAGCGGATCCTCCTCCCCTCCCCCTCCTGCCGCCCTCCTCCTTGCCTCCCTCGCCGCCCCACTACCACTGCTGCCTCTGGCACTGGTGCTGGTACTGCTATCAGTGGCTGAAGTGAGTGAGGAGTGAGAGGAGGAGGAGGGGTGAGAGGAGGAAGGGGTGGGGCGGAAGGAGCGACCGGCTTGGGAGATGAGGAAGAAGAGAAGGTGGTAGGCGGGGACTGGGTGAGCTGGCAGCAGCTGATTGGTCGCTGCCATGGCGAGGATTAGCTGAGGAGGGGGGTGGGAAACACGGGGGGGAGGAAGGGAGAGAATGTTTATGAAGTGATTTGATGAGAGGGACAAGAGGTGGCGGGGACTGGGTGAGCTGGCAGCAGCTGATTGGTGGCTGCCATGGCGAGGATGAGCTGAGGAGGGGGGTGGGGAACATGGGGCAGGACAGGTGATATTGTTGATGAGACGATATGGGGAGAGGACAAGAGGTGGCGGGGACTGGGTGAGCTGGCAGCAGCTGGTTGGTTGGTGGCTGCCATGGCGAGAATGAGATGAGGAGGGAGATGGGGAGGGGACCATGGGGCAGGAAGGAAGAGAAAGGTTAGGAGCTGAAGAGGAATGGGGAACAAGGAGCACGAAGCAAAAAGTTTTAGGTCGGCAACGGCAACGGCAACACCGCACAGGCAGAGCGCCAAATGAACCACCTGAGACACTACCTGAACTATCTCCTTGCGAGTCTCGTCCCAAGGGACATTCCTGTTTTGAGACGTCTCAAAACTAGTCTCGTCCCAAGGGACATTCCTGTTTTGAGATGTCTCAAAACTAGTCTCGTCCCAAGGGACATTCCTGTTTTGAGACGTCTCAAAACTAGTCTCGTCCCAAGGGACATTCCTGTTTTGAGATGTCTCAAAACTAGTCTCGTCCCAAGGGACATTCCTGGGCACAAGCACAGCTGCGCCCAGCAGGGAAGCACATGCAGATCTCCTAATGAGCCGCCTAGACTAGAGACACACCTGAACTATCGAGTCTCATCACACGGTGTATTCCGGGGCACAAGCACAGCTGCCCTCAGCAGGGACGAGCACGCAGAGCTCCTAATGAGCCGCCTAGACTAGAGACACACCTGAACTATCTCCTTGCGAGTCTCATCACACGGTGTGTTCCTGGCCACAAGCACAGCTGCTCCTAGCAGGGACGAGCACGCAGAGCTCCACTCCACCTCCACCTCTCCCACTGGCCGCAGCAGCACTGCTTCTATCGGCGACACCCCTCCTGCTGCTCCTGACCCTCCTCCCACCGTTGATCCTCCTCCTCCCCCCCCTGCCGCTCCCCCCATCCCTCCTCCACCACTGCTCGACCCCACTGCTGCTCCCCCTGCTCCTCCTCCTAATTCCCTCGCTCCTCCCCACTCTCCCCCTTTAGCGCTAGCAGAAACCCCAGGGCTGGAGGGATCGCTAGAGGGGAGGCCTAGGGAAGGGTGAATCAGGGACGAGCGTCCCTGAACCCACCCCAGAGCGAAAATATCCTGTGCTGACGTATCCTGCGCGCTCTCCATGGCCTCCTCTGATTGGATGATGTAGATCGCTCCCTGGCAGAACTGCTCCTCGCTGCCCGCCCACACTTGCGGCATGCTGCACAGTGTCAGTGTCCAAGGTCATAGAGCAGTACACTTGTTAAGAATTGTTAAGTAGCATTTAAAACGCGCACCTGCCCTTTTCATTTTGGATATGTGACACGAGACACAACAGGAGACAGCCCGACACACACACACCTGGTCACAATGCGGCGCAGCAGAACCAGAGCCCCCTGCCTGATTCGTACGTCCGCCCCTCTGTGTGCCGCCCTCTGTGGTGGCAGGACGGGAGAGATGCCAAGGGGACAACGGGAGAGGGAAAAGACAGAGCGAATGGAATCCAACGGTTAGGCTCCGTTGAAGTTTTAATCGTGTGACTGTTCGTGCGAAAAAAAAAAAAAAAAAAAAAAAAAAAAAAAAAAAAAAAAAAAAAAAAAAAAAAAACTTACATTGATTTGATCTCAAGCCATTGCCAAGAATGAGGAGGGAGAGTGGGTTACTATGGTCACTCACCTGGATGGCAAAGGCGCTTGTGTGTTGGGGGAAGGCCTCTGTGATAGTCATGGCACAGCGCATGGCTGTGTTGAGGCCCTGCGAGTGAGAGGCATGAGAGGGACGCATGCATGCATGAGACACATTTGAAAAGGTGTGTGCATGCATGCCTGCGAGCTGTATGAAGGCCTCTGTGATGGTCATGGCACAGTGCACGGCTGTGGTTAGCCCCTGTGAGAGACATGAGATCAGAGAAACACACGTGGGCGAATGTATGATAGGGCGCTTGCATGTTGGGGGAAGGCATCTGTGATAGTCATGACACACCGCATGGCGTGTTGAGCCCCTGTGAGTGAGAGGAATTAGATCAGAGTCACACACGCGACGCAGCAAGGGCAAGCGATGTCAAAGCACCGATGAACCCTAAACCCTGGACTCCAAACACCCTTGAGTCGATGAAACCTGGCCTACGATGACCATTTATTGTCCTGCAAGGCAAGTTACGCTGACGGGGTTTACTTGAAGCAACGGGGGTTACTCACAGTGATAGTAATGCGGATATCAGCTGCATTGGAGCTCAGGCGGCTGGTGTAGTGGCCTATGAGGCCGAGTAGGAACTCCAGAGTGGGGAGCAGCACCTGGGATGCATGGGGATGTACGAGGTATAGTTCCAAAGAGTTCTCAGAAGTAACTCGAATCAACCTCAGCCGGCTGGTGTGGTGGCTTATCAAGACAAGGGGGGGACTCCAACGTGGGGAGCAGCACCTGGGATGGATGGGGATGCACAATGCAAGGTACAACCAGTTTCTATTTTAGAGTACTCAAAAGAAACCAATTTCAACCTCAGCCGGCTGGTGTGGTGGCCTATCAAGGCGAGTGGAAACTCCAACTCGGGGAGTAGCACCCGGGAGGGATGGGGATGAATGAAGGAGTCATCTTTGAGAGTCCTTACAAGTAACTTAAATCAACCTCAGCCGGCTGATGTAGCGGCCTATCAGGGTGAGGAGGAACTCTAAAGTGGGGAGTAGCAGCATCCAGATCATTGGGATCTTCGCGAAAGCTGTTTCTAGGATTTGTCAACATTCACTAATGGCTGAACTATCCCTTACTATCCTTGACCATCCCTTGCTACCACCGTATTCGCACCTATGGCTGAACTATCCCTTACTATCCTTGACCATCCCCTGCTACCACCGTATTCGCACCTATGGCTGAACTATCCCTTACTATCCATTACCATCCCTTGCTACCACCGTATTCGCACCTATGGCTGAACTATCCCTTACTATCCCTTACTATCCATTACCATCCCTTGCTACCACCGTATTCGCACCTTTGGATTTATTCCTTGCTTGGTCCGCCCAAGAATGAGTCGTGTTTTGAGTCGACTCAAAACACCATCCATTGCTACCACTGTATTCGCACCTTTGGATTGATTCCTGGCTTGGGCCGCCCAAGAACCGTAGCTGCACTAGCTGCAGCAGCAGCACTAGCAGCAGCAGCAGCAGCAGCAGCAGCAGCAGCAGCAGCACCTGCCACGCTTGCATCAACTTCGCTGGTTGGCCCAGATAAAGCCTGATCTTCCCCAGATAGCCCCTGCTCAGGCCCCCCAAGGCCACCGCCACTCTTGCTGCTGCTGTCACCGCTGCTGCTGGCGAGATGTGCCTCAGAAGGGCCATCTGGGTCTGGGCAGCCGCCCAAGAGAGCTCTCAAGAGGGTACCGAGGCTGTCTGTAACGTGTACGTGCTGATACTCCTCTGGCTCCTTGCCATATCTGAAGAAAAGTAGGGGCGGAGGTAGTAAAGGGCACGAAGGCAGAGTAGGAGCTATTCATATACGCAGTACCGTCACAAGCTTTGAGACATAGAAGCTTTGTAGATTGGGACAGGCCCCAAGTCAAACCTTCATCAGCGCAAGCAGAATATACGAAGTACCGTCACAAGCTTTGAGACATTTCAAAATCTCAAGGCATAGGCATAGCGTAAACAGTGGTACTGTGAGATGAATAGCTCTGACAAAACAGTTTAAAGGTGTGAGCGTGGCACATGTATGGGTTCAGAACAGAATACGACGAAGCGTAGCTTAAGCTGTGGAAATGCAGAGGTTTATCTTTAGAACATCACCATTTGCATAGCTATACCTGTGGTTCTCGTCCCATGGACGCATGGTTGGAGATCTGCACGTACTGAGCCACACAATTCACAACCATACATACTCAGTAGAACGTGACACACACTCACAGGGAGCGAAGGGCGGGCAGCAGCGCACTGAGGGTAGATCGCAAGTAGCTCTCCTGCAGCAGAAACGCCATCTCCGCCATGGCCTTGGCTGTGGATAGCCGGGCCTGCAGAAGAACAAGAACGCATACAGAGCAAGGCATACAAACGGGGATACAGGAGAACAAGGCATTGGCACTCAAGATGCTTCAACACAGGTAGCTCTCCTGCAGCAGAAACGCCATCTCCGCCATGGCCTTGGCTGTGGATAGCCGGGCGTGCAGAAGAACAAGAACCAAGAAGGCGTGCAGAAGAACAAGAACGCAGAAGGCGTGCATAAGAGGTACAAAAGAGGGCTTCGGTTCAACCATGCTCCAAGCTCATAGCTCTTCTGCGCCAGACACGCCCTCTCTGCCCCGCCATCGCCTTGGCTGTGGCGTGCCGAGCCTGGTGGGGAAGGGGGCAGGTGGTTTGGAGGAACCATTTTTTGGAATTCGCATGAGTGGTTTGGAGGAACCATTTTTTGGAATTCGCATGAGTGGTTTGGAGGAACCATTTTTTGGAATTCGCATGAGTGGTTTGGAGGAACCATTTTTTGGAATTCGCATGAGTGGTTTGGAGGAACCATTTTTTGGAATTCGCATGAGTGGTTTGGAGGAACCATTTTTTGGAATTCGCATGAGTGGTTTGGAGGAACCATTTTTTGGAATTCGCATGAGTGGTTTGGAGGAACCATTTTTTGGAATTCGCATGAGTGGTTTGGAGGAACCATTTTTTGGAATTCGCATGAGTGGTTTGGAGGAACCATTTTTTGGAATTCGCATGAGTGGTTTGGAGGAACCATTTTTTGGAATTCGCATGAGTGGTTTGGAGGAACCATTTTTTGGAATTCGCATGAGTGGTTTGGAGGAACCATTTTTTGGAATTCGCATGAGTGGTTTGGAGGAACCATTTTTTGGAATTCGCATGAGTGGTTTGGAGGAACCATTTTTTGGAATTCGCATGAGTGGTTTGGAGGAACCATTTTTTGGAATTCGCATGAGTACCACTCACGCAGCTGCTCTGAGGAGAGAGCTCCTCCAGGTGCAGCACTCCCAGGCTCAGCACCCCCAGACTCAGCACCCCCAGTCTCAGCACCCCCAGTCTCAGCACCCCCAGACTCCGCACCCCCAGACTCCGCACCCCCAAGCTCCGCACCCCCAGGCTCCGCACCCCCAGGCTCAGCACCCCTAGCAGGACGAGAGTCGACAGCCACCTCGACAGGGTCAACCGGGTCTACCTGGGACACACCTGAGGGAGCGGCACCCTGAGGGGGGAGGGGGTCTACCATAGCAGCACCTGGCGCGAGGAAGAGAGGCGGGGGAGGGAGCGGGGCAGTGCGGTAGGGGAAGAGGCGGTAGTAGGGCACCGACTCGTCAAAAGTGACGTCCTGAGAGGGCAGGACACGGTGCGAGGTGGCGTGGTAAAACTGCCAACCAGACGCGTCCGGGACAAAGCCAAGGAAGACACAAGGAACAGCGCGGGAGGAGAGCTTGTCCGCAGACGTATCGCGGACAAAAGCTCGAGATCCCCAGACCCAAAAACGCGACGCATCGCCAACCTCCCCCGTCCACAGCAGTGTGGGCGAGGTCTCCGGCAAGGAGACACGGGGCCAGAGGTTGAGCTGATGCGCAGCGTAGCGGACTGCAAACGGCCACAGAAAGTGGGGGGCAGCCACATGGATCAAGGAGGTACGAGCGACCTCCATGACCAAACCAATGCGGCGCTCAGCAACCCCATTCTGCTGTGGAGAGGCCGGAAGCGTGAACGACTGCTCAATACCGTGCTCCGCACAGTAGGCTGCCAAGAGGTCGGAGGAGAACTCACCACCTCTGTCAGAGTGCAGACGCAAGACAGGAAAGTCCGAGTGGAACCGCTCGCTGAGCTGGAGACGAGAAGCGCGGATCCAAGGGATCAAAACAGCAGGGACCTCACCCTTGGTGCGCAAGGGGAAGACCGTGGTGTAGCGCGAGTAGTCGTCAACAACGATCAGGAAGTACCTCTCCTGACCCTGTCCACGAACGCGGGCTGGGCCCCACACGTCCATGTGGAGCGTCTGCAAGGGAGCAGTCGTCGGGGGAAACGAGGAGGAGTGAGGAGCGGCGCGCTGCCGCCCCTCGACACAGGGAAGGCAGGGAGGAGCAGGCGAGGGTGGGAGGGGAGGGAGAACCCTGGGAAGACCAGAGACAAGGTACCGTTTGTGCATGGCACGAAGGCGCTGCACTGACGGGTGACCAAGACGGTGGTGCCAAAGAACAGTCTCGTGCGCCAGAGAGCGACACGAGCAGGGGGCAGACAGCTGACCTGACGCAGACGCAGACGCAGCTACCTGAGGGGACTCAGTGGTCAGTGTGTACAGGTCCGACCCCGGCTGCCTAGTGAAGGTAGCCAGGTGGCGGCCCGTCCGAGCACACGTGCAGTGTGTCACACGCTCGTAGGCAGGGGTGAACTGGTGGACACCCCCGTCCTGTAGGGCACAGCCTGCCACCAAGTTCGTAGAGAACGAGAGGAGGTGGAGACCTGACAGAGTGCCCGACGGAACCGCAGGACAAGGAAGGACAGTGGAAGAGGTCGCAATGACCGGACCCCCAGAGGGGTCAGCAAGGGAGACAGCAACTGGCCGAGCAAGCTGCTCAAGGGCAGTGCGGTCACGAAAGAAACAGCGAGAAGCTCCTGAGTCTAGAGTGAAGGTGTGCAGTGCCTCAGTGGACTCAGTACCAGGGGGCGCAGACTCACTAGCACCTGGAGCAGTAGCCTCACCAGCACCTGGGGCAGCAGACACGCAAGCACCTAGGGCGGCAGCCTCACTGGTGCGAATGCCCGGGTCGGGCGGAACACGCAGGTACTGATCACCCTCTCCACTAGTAGACAACACATACATGGCAGTGACAATAGCATCAAAGTCAAGAGCAAAGACATCAATGTTCTTCTTCATCAGATCCCACCAGCGGGGCAGCTCAGTGGCAGTAGGGAACTGAGTGCGCCAAGCGTCGTCGAGGCGGGAGAAGCAGCGCTGCGTGGTGTGCGCCCTCCCACACGTGTGGCCAGTGCGCTCACCAGTGCGGATGACGTACGTGCAGCTAAGGCCACCCCCCCCCCCGTGCTGAGAGTACCACTCACGAAGCTCCTGGGGAGAGAGAGTCTGCTGTCCGCCAGCGCCACCACGACCACCACCTCCGCCGCCACCACCTCGACCACCACCGCCCCTGCCGCCGCCTCGTCCACCGCCGCCCCAACCACTGCCCCCACCCCGGCCACCTCCTCCGCTGCTGCCGCCAGCACCCCCACCACTGCCACTAGCCCCTCCTGCCCCGCCACCTCCCCCACCGTCTCCACCGCCCCCACCACCGCCTCCCCCGCCGTCACCTCCACCTCCCTTGCCCCCTTTGCCCTTGCCGCTGCGGCGCCAGCTCGGAGCGGACGCAGTCCCGACCTGCTCAGTACCAACGAGGTCGACAGCAGCAGCAGAGGCGACAGAGGGGAGCAGGGGGGAAGGGGAACACCCCTCAAAGAACGGGGTGCGGGGGTCGCCACGAGAGGCAGCTACAGCGACTATGCTAGTCTCGGCTGCAAGCAGTTCCTTCTCGAGCAGGTCAACGGTGAGCTCAGTGGGGCAGCGAGCGAGGAAGTGGTCCCTGACCGCACGAAGAGAGTCAGGGAGACGGGTGACAAGGTGGTAGAGAGTGAGCCAGAGCGGGGGAGGGTGGGTGGCAAAAAACTCAGCGGGCATAGCGGCACGAAAGCGAGCCTCACTAGTGCGGAGGTGCGTGGTGAGGTCAGCGACTGTGGCGAACGCGGACAGGTCTGGGAACAGGTAGGGGAGCGAGAGACGGCCTAGCGCAGCAGAGGCAGGCGAGGAGTAGCGTGCAACTACAGCAGTGTACAGGGCCTGTGCAGTCTTGTGCTGGCCAAAGTGCTCACGCTCATCTACTGGCAGGGAGTTGCGAATAGCAAAGCGAGCGTGGGCGTCACGAGTCTACCACTGTGAACGGGTAGTACTGTCAGCAGTAGTAGTAGGGGCAGCAGCATTGCCTAGTGCGTGATCGTACAGCGAGATATCCTCCTTGGCAGTGAGCTGGAGGAACAGGTGCAAGTCATCGAGCCAGGTCTCAAACTTCAGTGGGCGACCCTCAGCATCAAAAGCAAGAACAGCAGGGCTAGCCATAGTTGCAGTAAGAGCAGTGGTAGCAGCAGAAACAGTAGCAGCAGGCGAAACCCTAAAAGCAGTAGGTAGTGCGACTTGGGTAGGGCGGCTCGGTCCAGAGGGGGCTGCTCAGTACTGGGAGGGCGGCGCGGCTCGGTTCGGGCGGCGCGGCTCGGCTCGGTTCTGGGCGGCTCGGTTCGGGCGGCTCGGTTCGGGCGGGGCCGTGGCGGTCGCACGTGGGGCGGCTCGGTTCTGGCGGGGCCGACGGGGCCTCTAAGGG